TGGTGAGACTATGATTTATAAAAGGGCGAAAGATGATGTCAGCGACTCTTTGAAGGATTGGCGTTTGCAATTTGACAAGACCAATCATGATGTTCCACTGCCGATGATTGCTACGGAGTTGAAGGGAAAGCTCGAGGGTGATGTTTGGTTTCGGAGGCACTTCGCTATGCTGGCTATTAGTACGTTGGCGGGCCCTATGATGAATGGGTACGCTAATCAGCGTGTGTACCACCATTTTGAGGACGTTGAGCAGATTAGAAACCTAAATTGGTGTAAGTTTGTGATTGAGTGTTTGGTTGAGAGTCACGAGAAATGGTTTTTGAAGCAGAATCAACCCTTTACCGGTCCTTATTTGTTTCTGTTGGTACGAATTATTTATGTTTGTTATTTTTTGTTATTCGGTTTCCCATTCTTGTTGATGCTTTTTAATACTTGTGTGTGTGTGTGGTTTCCAGTTGCTTTATGTGGATAGGGTCATCCGTGGGGAGAGAGTTGTGCCCCGGGCGATGCCAGGTTCGCGAGGATGGACTACACGTCTTCTAAAGGAAAGGCAACTTGCTGAGTTCAGGGATGGCGGTTTTGGACGTGGTCAGGTGGTTGGGGCATACATTCCGGATCCTGTTGCTCCAGTTAAGGTATTGTTTTCAATTTCTAATTATATTTCTGTTTTTGGGGGTTGGTTCTCAGTTCTGGTCTGTGCGTGGGGTGCATTAGTTGTGTGTGCAGTGAGTGCTAGCCCACCATGATGTTAGTGAATTCGGTTTTAGGTTTAATTTGTTGGGTTGATGGTCTATGCGTATTTTGTAATCGGTTTGTGTGTGAACTCTTCTTGTCTACTTTCATTACGGTGTTATTTGTGTTTGCATTATTATATTGGTCGGGTTGTTTTTTTTTTATTGGTGTTTATGAACACTTTTAGATTGTGTATTATGTTGTGCGTAACTGTGATTAACTCTGTGCGTATCCTGGTGTGCGAAGCTGAGCTATGTATATCTTGGGAATTGGATTTCGTGCTTTTGATTTTTTGTGCGTTAAAGGCAGCTCCTATACTGCTAGTGCTGTTCTGTGCATGAATAGTCTGGGGTTGTTGCGTTCAAACGTGTGATTCTTTTTTTCCTTCTGATTGGTGTTTGAAGTCGTGGCCAACCATGTATGCTTTATTTTGTTGTTGGGAGTGCGGGGGTATGAAGAGTTTCCTTTTATTTTTTCAATTTCTCTATTAATGACGTAATACAATTTGGTGTAGACTGTTGATGAGCTTTTAGCCGACAAGACTGGTATGGTTGTTGGGGCGTTGGATGATTTGATGCAGTTTATGGAACAACACCATGATCGTGCTGCGCAGACGGAAGCTGTTTCGAGGGTTGTTGCTGGTGCACGGAGATTCTTGCTATTGGCTGATCGTGTTGGAGAGTCTGGCGGGGCTCCACCTGTTGAGACTAGAGCTGTGGGTGCGTTCAGTGACGATGAGATGTGGAGGGACCCTGAGAATTTGGATGCCATTGATGCCTGTGTCGTAGCTGCTCAGCAGGAGAAAGCTGGGGGAGTTGTGCCCCCCTCTCGCTCAGTCATGGACCAGCAACAGTCGACTGTAGGTTCTGCAGAGGCGGTAGTTGAGACTGGGGATGGTGATGGTATTGATGTTGAGGTCCCGCAAGAGGTGCAGGCTATTGTGGAGACCCCTATAGCAGTTCGTAAGGTTGGTCGTCCGCGTAGAAAAGCTAGGCGTCTTTAGGTTTTTTGTGGTGGCTATCTATGAACTATTTTTTGGATGTCTTTGGCCACTAACCCGTTGTTGTATTTTGTTATCACTGTGTTGTGGCATGCACGGGGGTGGTTGTATGTGACGTTGGTGGTAACTCTATGTACTTTTGGTTTGTATATTATGTATGCATAGTCCTAGACTCCGGTGAACTGTTTTAATGCTTTGATCTTTTTCATTTTCAGTGGCCGGCTCGATATGCATTGCGTCTTTTATTTAGTTATACACATGATTTTGTTTGTATGACTTTTTACTTGCATTCGATAGGGTATGTCAGATATTCCTTCGTTTAGTCTTGGCTTGTCTCAGGATTTGCCTAGTGGTGGCTTGTCTCAGGAGTTGCCTACCGAATGTTGGGAGGTCGTCGATGCAATTGTTCGTGAATATAACGCACGTACACCTGACGTAGTGCGGCGGGGCTGTTCATCTGCTCCATGTGCTGCGGTAAGTGCAGTTTTGTACTCTATGGTAGTTAAATATTTTTCCTGTGTGTTTTTTTTTTTCTTAAAGAATTGTCTAACGTGTTTTGGGCGTGGGGTTTTGACGTGTGTATTCTGGGTGCGTTTCTCTTTTTAGCTCTGTGCGTATCACTCGTTTTGTCCTTTTTTTATATTTTCACCGTCTCTGGTTGGGTCTGTGCGTCTTTTCTGCTGGGTTTGTGCATGGCTGTTTACATCACGTGTGTAATAGGCGTTTCATTTGTTCGTACTATAGGTCGCGCACCTGTCACCCATGATGCGGCTGCACGAGGTACTGCTTCGGTAGGGCAAGACCTACGAATTCGGGTGCCTTCGAAGCGGGGTCGGTATGTTGGTGCATTTGTTGACGACGTTGTTAACTCAACTCCGGTTGAGGTATTTTCCTCTAACATTGCTTTATCTTTGTTGGGGCTTTGATTAATCCTTCCTTTTAATGGATGTTTTACGTGTTTGGTTCTGTTTCATTTTATGTTGTAGGCTCTTGTTCCAGTCGTGCCTCCGACTAGTGCGCTGACTAATCCACCTCTGTGTCGCGCGCCTACCAAGCTACCACGTAACACTTCTGATAATGTTGATGCGTTGAGGGCGCTTGACTTGAATTCGTATGAACCTCGAATACGCGCTCGTGCTGTGCTCAGGCCCCATGTCCCCGTCCCTGATACCAATGCTGTGTATGATTGGGTGCTTGGGGGTAGACAGTTGGACATGTATGACCATGCTTGTTTCTTTGTTTTGTTCATTGTTGTGTGCATTTTAAAGTTTTTTTTTTAAACAAAATTATTCTATATGTAGGGATGATGAATTATTTAATTATGGTGGTCATTCTGCACGGAGGGCAGAATTTGTTTCTCTGTTGGAAGGTAATGAGGTGCTGGTTGGTATACTGAATGCTTTGGCTACTGTTTTGACTTATAGGGAAAGGATGAAGGCTGTTGGTTCACCTTCCAGATTCTTTGCGTCACCGACTACTACGGTTCTGTTCTATTCCTCGGTAGTATATGTTTGTATGCATGCTTTGGTTCTTATTTTAGCTTTTCGTTATTTGAATGTAGTTGTTCACTGTGGTTGATCTTTCGGCGCCACACTCACGTCGGTTGCAGTGGTTTACGGATAGTATGGAGGCTGAGTTGGATTTTTCTTCATATACGACATGGGATCAGTTTGACATGGTTAGTGCGTTGTCTGTGTTTTTTGATATACTGTGCGTTGTCTGTGTCCGTTTTCTTTACTGTGCCCTTTTTCCTTCTGTTACAGTTTCTGTTTCCTATCTTACAAAAGGGTCACTACTATGTCATTGTAGTGGATCTCAGGCGCATGCGGTTTGATGTAGTTGATAATTCATCGGCTGGTAATCTTTCGCTAGATAAATATGAGCACGTCCCCACGGTGCTGGTATGTTTGGGTCAATAATTTTAAATTCATCTGTGTTCGTATATGCTTGCTTAACTTGTTGTCATTTTTGCAGCACGATTTGCTGACCGTTTTCTTTGAAGATGTTGGTGTAACTGAGTTGTTTATGAAGGTCACAGAGTTAATTCCGCGTAGGGTTCGATTCTCATGGCGCGATGCGACGAACAAAATTAATTGTGGTGTGTTTGCTATGCGTCACATGGAGTGTTGTATTGGCAAGTCATATGCTTCATGGGACTGTGGTCTTCGGAGGGGCGATGCGCGTGCGGTGCAAGCTCTACGGGTCCGGTTCGTGTATGATATCTTGATGTTTGAAGGCAACACTCATCGCCACTCAAATGTCAACTGTGTTATGCGATCCATTGCAGTGGTCCATGGCAGGCCATAATTTTATTCGAATGTTTTTTAACATTGTCAACTACATTTAATAATGTTATTTCTGCTCTTTTTTTTTTTCCCCGGAGATTTTGTTTGTTTCTGTTTTGCACGGCAACATTGCGTTTTACACTTGTAACCCGAATTTAAGTAATAGTATGTGGTTTCTGTTTTGTCCCTTCCATTTTTGAATGTTTGTTCTTTCATGGTGGTCAGACAGGGTCTAGCTTTAGTTCAAATAAGCAAGGCACACACTTTACAACCGGTATGCTATTCAGATTATCTGCTTGTTTAGCTTCTTTGCTCATGTTGTGGGTTTAATTTATATGTCTGTGCGTAATGGTCGCTCACTAAGTGCGTGTCATGGTTTCGGTCCGTGCGTATTTGTGGCTCATCATAACGGTTTGTGCGTCATGGTAATAATTTCTGAGCCATGTTTGCGTCTGCCCATGTCACCTTGCATTGCACACAAATGTCACCTTGCACAGAACATACCATGTACTCTCTATTCAAGTGTAGCCATGCACCAACTAACCTAGTGTTTAATCTCATCGCTTTATTCGCCTTTATTAATTTAGTCTTCCCAATATATCTTCTACGCTTAAATTGTTCAATAATAATAATCGACTAATAACTCTATAATGTAAAGACATCTTCTAAGCTTAAATTGTTCGATAATAATACCAAATTATTCTCTTTTCCATTATTTTCAATGCAGTACTACCTCTGTGCATCATCTCATATCGGTCTGTGCGTGGGTTTGTATGTATGTCCACTGTCACCTCAAATCACGTGTAAACTCGTAAAGCTTTACGCTTGTGCTGTATACTGGTTCTCGCACATGCATGCTTTATTTTTAAAAAAAAATCAAAATGTAATGGGAAGAATTAAATACATGATCCAGTTGTCCAAATATAATAGTTCGACTTAAATAGTAACGATCTAACTACTTTTTTTCAAGTGTAATACCGATTTTATTTTTGTGGACAACTCCTACTATTGTGGCCGGTTGCTAGTCCACAGGTCTTGCATGTTCGTTTCTTCTTACTTTGCTCCTTCATTGCTATCTCTTTAGCAGTCCTCATTCGTTTTCTCGACCCTTCGTTGCTTGAAACGGGTGGTGGGTGCACATTGACTTCCTCAGGTTGTGGGACGCCGCAATATGACTCCATAATCACTTGTTTGCCTTTATCTGGACCCCCTCGTTCTCTCCCACTCTCGAACCATGTTGCTTCGAACTCCTCTAGTGTTTTTCGAATCGGATCCAACTTCGAACTGTCTCCTTGTGCTAGACCTAGACATCTGTATAACAAATTAATTATGGTGCTTTCTTCGTTACTGTTGGTTGACGAAGTCCTAGCATGTTGCAGACTATCATTTCCCACTCCATTTGTGTTTTTTAATGCTGTTTTTGTCCATCGGGGTTGATATGTTGGGGAGGTATGTGCTCGATCCTTTCGTAGATTAGCACCGCATAAGCATGACTGCATAACAAACCAATCTGTAGGGATGGCAATGTGCCCCGTCCCCGTTGGGGATCCCCGCCCCCGTAGGGGATGGGGACGGGGACAGGGAAAAATTTCGGGGATCAGGGACGGGGATGGGAAATTTGACAAACTCCCCGTCGGGGACGGGGACGGGGACGGGGATACCACTCCCCGCCCCGCCCCGTCCCCGAAAATAAAAAAAATTAAAATAAATAAATAATATATATAGAATATTATTTTAGGATTAGGAAATAGAATATTTGAATGTGTATACATTGGAATAATATGTATACTGTACTACGGTGTATATAACAACAATAAGTCAATATAATTCATAATGTTTGAATGTTAAACTATTTTTAGTATATATTTGCTCTTTCGGATTGGAATGTGAACTTCATTAGTTCGTATGTTATTAAAAATAGTTAAATTTTAATTGTCATTTCAATTTTTTTCTTTTTATTTCTACTAGTTTCACACTTTGACTATGAGTTGACCGCGGATGGGATTTCCCATCCCCGCCAAATTCCCCGCGGGGTCGGGGATGGGGAATTTTTTCAAGTCCCCGCCGGGGACGGGGACGGGGATAGGGATGGAGTCGGGATAGCGGGGACGGGGACGGGGAGTATACTCCCCGCCCCGCCCCGTTGCCATCCCTACCAATCCGGGTGTACAATCGGCAAGTGCAGGTTGTTGTGTTTGTCCCATTCTCTACTATGACCGTGAATCTCTTGTTATATTCATCCTCAACCACATACGTGCCTACTGGGCCATCATGCTTGACAGAACGCACTCGACAATCAAAACATCCGGCGCATATATTCTCTTGTACCTCGTAAAACACGCTTAATGTGTACTGTGTCGCTGCATCTTGCTCTATTCGCAGTTGCGTTTTGAACAGGGGTGTTTGTGCGTTGCAAGCCCCACTTAGGTCCGCCTCTGTGATCCGTTGCTTTATGATTGTACTCTCTAACCGGATGAAAAATTCCGAAAGACACATGTGTTTGTTTGTGTTGGTTTGGAAAATTTTATTTTCTGCTTTAGACCGGGATGTTGTACGGAGTAGTCCGCCCATAAACACGTCTTCAAAATACGCAGGCACCCATTTCTCACGCTCGTCATACATACGATTCAGCCATGCATTTTCTTGTAATTCGTATTTTTCAATAACTCCTTTCCACGCGACTTCGAAATATTCGGAAGTCGCGCTGTCATTCCACACTACATCATTTAGCTCCCTACAGAACTCTTCGTTTTGTGCCATCTCTGGGCTCACTTTATCACTCACCTTCGTCATTATGTGCCACATGCAATAACGGTGTCGGGTCTCCGGGAATTCTTTTGTAATTGCTACCTTCATTGCCGGGTCTTAATCGGTTACTGTAATACGCGGTATGCTGCCCATTGCGATCTTGAAATTCCTCAGCGCCCAACAATACGAGTCCACATCTTCCCTAGCAATTAGTGCTACTGCAAATGTCACACATTTTTTGTGGTTGTCTACGCCTGTGAATGGGACAAACACGAGACTGTACCTGTCACACCAGAAAACTAGTTAGTTCTCATGCATATACCGTCCAGTTTTGACGGTCACATACGTGCCCATGCATGTGGTAGACACTAGTATGCTCACGCCTCAACTCACGCACGCACAGCAGAATGTTATTCACCCTTTACCACTCCATGTACATTTTAAACAAATTCACACAGAAAATGACTTTAAGTTTTTGCCGTTCTGTTAGGTCGCCATGCATTCACTACCCTCTAACACGCTCACTATATAACTCATGCACGCATAGCGGACTATTTTCCCCCCAACACCCTCCCCGTTGATTTTTATATAAGGCTTGCAAGACTCTTGATCACCCTCAACGTTTACGCATATAAGACGATTGCAATTTTAGTTTTTAGTTTCCGGAATTGCGTGTTTGTTTTGTACGTTGCATCGAACGATACGACATCTCCGAACGCACAGAATTTTTGCCGTGCCGCACCGTCTGCCCAAAACACACGTGCCAATTGATCTTTTTTCATTTGCTTCGTATTCGAAGTACATGTCACTGTAGTCAGATTTGATATCAAGGTATTTTGATATTACCATTTGTGCGTCTCTACCTTGCATGTATGCCAACACCTCCCTTCGGTAATTCTTGAAATCTTGCTGCGTACAACCCACGTTCTCAACTCCACCAACCATCTCTGCGTATATGTCAAAGCTCTTACTGGCACCGACATTAACCTTAGAGCAATTCGTTATGAATTGTTGGTGACCAACATCTAGTTTCCTATTCACTTTCAAGAAAGGCTTGTAACTCTCTTCGCACAAACAGTGCGTGTGTGCCTCTTCGAATGTCGTCACAACATACCTTCCCGCCTTGTCTTGTTTGAATACAATCCTAGCCATGCACCCAACTCTAGTTGATGGCCGGCGGCGTCTGGCCTTGGTTGGTGCATCACTAACAGCCGGCCCTGTGGTTTTTGTTTCCTTAAAACCTTCGCGTGAACAAACCATCTTTTTCCTTAAAATGGCCCCGTACCTGTTCTTCTTGTCAGAACTTCGACGCACATCAAAGCCAGCTATAGATGCATACTTCATGTAGAATTCAATACCGTCGTCTAAGTTTTTAAACAATTGACCTTGTGTTGGCTTAATGTTGGGGTCGCATTCTGTTAACCAAGTCTCATTGCTGCCTGGTGATACGTCCATAACACATTCTCGCCGCCCGGCATCATCTTCCATGGGTAGTGGACCTGACAAACAACATACATTAGTAAATTGGTTAGTCTATTCACGAACCACTGTTAGCCCACTATGCACCTACTACTTCTGTTCCACGCACAGTTCACAATATTCTAACATCATGGTGTTCCTCACTGTTACGAAGATACCTACACGCACACACCTGCAACTACGTGTTAGTTGGTGTCACAGTGCACAGCCACAGTTTCAATATAAGTGTCAGTGGCCCACACTCCTCACACCGTCATTTTCTCTTCTTACGCACACACTGCAATGCCAAACCCGCACACAACCAGCACACCATCCTAATACCTTATCCAGTTAAAGGAATTTACAGCTTTGTGCACCTGCTTAATCAACCTCTACCCGTCATACAATGTGCTTAAATACGCCGCCTAACACTCCCAAATTATTCTCCATCCGACCAACAACAATTATATATCAAACAAACTAACATGCATATACGCACATACCAATTAACGAATTCGCACATACCTTCGCTGCCTGATGCCATGACTACAGTTTGCGCTTCGTATGACCCTACTCCGCCAGTTACTCTGCACTCTCACACTTCCTCACGCGGTTTATCTCTTACCCGGCCTATGCACATTTATATGACCTATAATATCATCCTTAATATCATGCTTAAGATTCCATTAATATAATGTTCATAATTAAACAACTAAATACAATTACATTATGATCCTTGTGATTACTAAATCTCCTTAATTTCTTACAAAATCTCATCTAATCTTGACCATTCATGAAAATGTAATCAATGGATATAAAGAGTTCTCATGTGCCCATGTGTCATGGGGTGTGCACCGGATTCGAAGCCTATATATATATATATATATATATATATATATATATATATATATAGCAATACACACACTTCTCGACAAATAATTTCACCACATTTTTGCATTGAAGTTTTAATAGTCTTTTTTTTTTTTTTTTTTTTTTTTTTTTTTTTTTTTTTAAGGAGAACTTAATAGTCTTAGTTTCCATCATAAACTATGTTTTCCTGCTATTATTAATTCCATAAGTAAACTTATATTTGAATGCATTCTCTTATATTGAATTTGACCGAAAATGATTGCTAACTCATTCAACTAACGGTGATAATCAATGGTCAGAATCTAAATACAATGGTAATAACATGTGAAAATCTTTAAAACTGTGAGTTTGTTCAAAGTGCATACGATATAGAATTAATACTTATGATCAAAGTGTATATAAGATATATGGAGTAGAAGATGTTATTCGTAATTTACAAATTTACTTAAAGAGTTATTACCAATGAGACATTATATGACATGACTAAATTTAATAAAATTATAAAAATTAAAATTAAAAATACAATAAAATTATTTATCAATGATTAAATTTGATATTAAAAGTTAGGCTGGTGACATCCATCAGTCAATAGAATCTTAATTCAAATCAATACATCTTAAACTAATTCTCGAATCCAAATTTGTGTTTGACAAAAATAATGAAAATGTCCAACATCAAAGCAATAACGTTATCTATAAGATAACAATCTGACTTTCATTAAAATAAATAAATAAGTAAATTGAACATTTGGATATATAAAACATGATTTGGTTCCCTTGTACAGTAATTAATCAAATAAAAAAATAAAATTTTAATTATTATATTGGTCCAAGTGGATAATTAAAATAATAGGAGGATCACGTGAAAAGGATCGCAAAATTATATTGTCTACTGCTAAACATTATATTAATTAAGACCACATTATTAAGAAGCAATTAAGAAGATGCCACATTATTGAAGAATATCCTCAAGCTTTACAACTCAATTATAGATGGCCTGTTTGGTTGGAGATATGTTAGTTAATTTGTAGTTATGGACAGCCTAATTTTTTCCCTTTTCTGATTTAAAATGTAAATATTTTTTTTTTATTTAACATTTTTGAGAAAATTTCAGTTTTGGTCATATGATTATAGGGCCTTTGTTAATTTCAGCATCTAACTTTTAAAAGTGTCAATTTAGTACCTTGAGTATGTAATTTTTGTCAATTTTGGTCACTCCGATCAAATTGTCGGCCAAAATTCGTCGAAAAATTTTAATAGGTAAAATAATGAGAGTATTTTAGTCATTTTACCCTTTTTCCTTTCTTTTCTGACGAGGTGTTTCCGACCAAATCTTTTCTTTCTTTATTCTAAATCTCAAGCAGAGCAGAGCTCTGGCATTAGAGGCCAACATTTCCGGCCAAAGAGAGGGATTAACAAGACCGCAGTGAGGACGATGGCCATGGTGAGGACGACATCTCTTTCTTCTCCAACGAGTGGAATAGCATTGGTCGGCCGCATGGAGTCCGCCGAACACCTCCGTGGTTTCCGAGTGGTCCTTGGAGTGCGTTGGGGCTAATATCACCGACCTACTGGCTACCTCGTACTTCCTCGGTTGCCTAGTCGGCGGACTCGCGCTCTCCATGTTCGCTGACACCTCCATTGGTCGGTGGTGCCTGGTCTAAGGAGGCTACCAGTCAAAATGCTTTGGCCATTGATTCCGTTAAGCTCATAAAAGTAGTGTTTAGATTTGTTTTGGTTTTAAAAGTGGCCTTGAGCCGCTTCGTCTGTACTTTCGAAGCCAGGAGAACTCGCTGGAAACAACTGAAACATGGTAGACTCGCAGGAGAAGTAGAAAAGAGATGTGAAGTGACTAAAATACCCTCATTATTTCAATTATTAAAAATTTTTGGCAAAATTTGGTCGATAATTTGACCGGAGTGACCAAAATTGACAAAAATTACATACTCAAGGTACTAAATTAACACTTTTGAAAGTTAGGTGCTGAAATTCACAAAGCCCCTATAGTCATATGACCAAAATTGAAATTTTCTCTAACATTTTTTGTTAGAGACCCCCATTGAGTTTTGGTTTAATTCAATCAATGGAATGGTGTGTTTTGTTTTAAGTAAAATGTTAAATTTAATTGAAGCATGTGTTCTATCTCAACTAAAAGTCTAAACTGATATATGTGGACTATAGTCTCTTTCGAGTGACGCGGAGATTCGATATTGAAGTATGTGCTTCATCTCAACTAAAAATTTAAGCTGATAATTGGATTGCACATTTATATTGATACTAGTTTTTTACGCGCATTGCGCGATTGGGATAATGCCCAATGTTTTTTTTTTTTTTTTAAATAAGTACTTTAAAGTATATTAAGGCAAGATTATATTGAAATTGTTCATGCATAGATAATTGAAGGTTGAATTTGCGTATTTAAATAGGTAATTCTTCTCCTAAAGGTTGAGTCCCCAACCCCAAGGGCCCCCCGACAGAGCATTGTGGGAAGTTGTAAATCACGGTGACTCAATGGTTCAGCAGACAGGACCAAATCCCGGTGCGAACAAGGAATCTGCCCACTTTGGACATGGTTCAGCAGACAGGACCAAATGCCGGTGCGAACAAGGAATCTGCCCACTTTGGACATAGTTCCCGCACTGCCGCCGCCGAGGTTCAAACCTTGGTCTCTTCTCCCAAATACTGCCCACTAAACCATTGAGCTAAGCCCGTGCGGGTTAAATAGGTAATTCTAAGTTTACAAATGCAAGATAATATAGTCAAGATTGATTATAATTGTCAATAAAATAATTGTATAGGTATGGTTGAAACCAAATACGGGACATAAGGGAGAACAAATAAAAATTAGGACATAAAATATTAAATATATACTAATATTGTTTGAGGAGATTTCGACATTAGGATTTGTGGTTAAGTTCTATTAAGACTTTAATATTAGAATTAGATTAATGGTGTAATTATAATTCTATATTAGATGTTAATATTAGAATTAGACTAACTGTGAATTAACGGTATTTAACGGAAAAGTTAAATGGATAATCATATAATTAAGGATAAATTAGAAAAACTTTAAAAAAAAATTAAAACCTGAACAATTTGAACCATTCATTTGATTTAATAATTTGGCGGTCATTTTTTCTACCCAATGTTAATAATTAAATAAATTCGTTGGTCAAATCCGCTAATATAATCCGCTAACTGCTGATTGTCAAACAAGGACATTGCAAGGTAGTTCTCACTTCAATTTGTTTTGTGATTTGAATACTCTCTTTGTCACAAAATCTCTCAAGTAGTTAATATGGTTGGCTTTATTAATTATATTTTTTTTTTATTTTTTCATGGTATTAATAAAATACTTGGTAAATAAATATATAGCATTATTTTGTATTATAACTTTGATATTTAATTAGAAAAATAGTGCACAAAAAAGATAATAGACAATGTAGTGAATATAATCAATTGATGAATTTGAATGTAAAAATTTTTACATTTGAGAAAAATAAAGACAATATAACTAATGAAAATATTTCTCTTAATTAATTTATTGATAATGAACAATTTTTTTTCACTGAATTAAGACATTGTAAGGACAATGTAGCGAATATAATCAATTAATAAATTTGAATATAAAGAATTTTTATATTGTAGAAAAATAAAGACAATACAACTAATACAATTATTTCTCTTATTTAATTTATTGATAATGAATAATTTTTTTTTTTTTGAATAAAGGCATTGTGGACACATAATTCTAAATTAAAGAAATGCATATCTATAATTTTTTGTTGTAGCTACTAAATTATTATTTATATAATTTAATAAGAGTAAAATAGAGTATTAATTATGCCAACTTTGATTAGGATGAGGTTCGAACCTAATACCTTTTTTTTTTTTTTTTTTATTGAAATCAATGAGTAAGTTAACGGTAAACTAACGACAATTCTTAAAATTTTAACGGAATTAGTAACGGTGTGTGGGTATTTTAGGAAATTTTAGTGTAAAATTTAAATCTTATTAATCTTTTAATCAATCTGAGCCATTCATTTGATTAAAATCTATCACCGCCATTTTTTCTACCCATTATAGGCCTAACTCTCTTGAACTCTTATTAATATATATATATACTAGTTTTTTCCGCGCATTGCGCGATTGGGATAATGCCCAATGTTTTTTTAAAAATAAGCACTTTAAAGTATATATATCAAGATAATATTATATTGGAATTGTTCATGCATAAATAATTGAATGTTAAATTTGCGTATTTAAATAGGTAATTCTAAGTTTACACATACAAGATAATATAGTCAAGATTGATTATAATTGTCAATAAAATAATTGTATATGTATGGTTGAAACCAAATACGGGACATAAGGGAGAGCAAATAAAAATTAGGGCATAAAATATTAAATATATACTAATATTGAAGAGCTAACTGCTGATTGCCAAACAAGGACATTGCGAGATAGTTTCCCACTTCAATTTGTTGTGTGATTTGAATACTCTTTTTGTCGATAAATCCCCGAAGTAGTTAATATGATTGGCTTTATTTTTTAAAACAATTATTATTATTATATTATTAAATATATGTATACCCTTAGGTCATTTTACATGTTAATCTAAACAGCTAATTTTTTATAATATCTTTTTACCAACCGTTGATATAATTCGCTGTTC